TCCACTCTCTGTCATAGCAGTAAGTCTAGTCTTTTTTTCCTGAATTTGGATTATTTTCTACATTTTTCCCCTGCTTTGTCTGGGACCCTCTGTTGTGATCCAGAGTGGTTGGTGGTGGTAGACAGGCACCATCTAGTTCTTCTGGGCTTAGGTTGGTGGAAGCTGTGGTTCACGTGGTCCATTAGTCCTTTGGACTAATATTTTCCTTGTGTCTTTGGTTTTCTTCATTCTCCTTGCTCATGCCCTGATGGCACCAATAGATGCATCTTACGTGGCCACTCATAAGCTTTTAAGACCCCAGATTCTGCTCACAAAGTAGGGTGTAGAATATTTTCTTTATGAAGTATGTTATTCCATTTGTCCTGGATGTCAGCTGGGACCACGGCCCCTAACTCTCAGCCCCAAGGACTTGGTCCCTCAAGGTGTTTGGATGTGTCTAGGGAGCTTGTATGATTCCGCCTTGGACAAGTTGTGCTGGATGCCCCTATATTGTGAGTTGCCTCTCCCTTCACCAAAGTTAACAGTTGTCTACTATCTAGTTAGTGATTTCTCTTCTCCCCGTTTCTCCCCTCACTTGTAGCCATCCAAGATCATTTTTTTTTCTGGGCGTAAACCTTTTCTTGGGTTTTTATAATAATGGTCCCATACAGTATTCATCCTTTTGTGATTGAGACATTTCACTCAGCATAATGCCCTCCAGATTCATCCATGTAAAAATATTTCACAGACTCATCATTGTTCTTTATCATTGTGTAGTATTCCATTGTGTGTATGTATCATAATTTGTTTATCCATTCATCCGTTGATGGGGACTTAGGTTGTTTCCATCTTTTTGCTATTCCACCTATTTGCTACTGAATAGCACTGCAATGAACGTGTCTGTGCATATGAATACTTATGTGATGGTTCTCATTTTTCTAGAATATATTGCTAGGAGTGGAATTGCTGGATTGTATAGTATTTCTGTGTCTAGCTTTTTAAGGAGGCACCATAACATTTTCCACTGTGGTTGCACCATTTTACATTCCCACCAACAGTGCATAACAGTTCCAATCTCCTTGATATATATATCTGTCAAAAATTTGTTTTTTTTCTGGTTGTTTTTATTAGTGACAGTAATATGTGGGTCAGATGGTATCTCGGTGCCGTTTTTTTTTTTTTGCATTTCTCTACTGGCTTATGATTACGAGTGTTTCCCTATGTGTCTGTTAGCTGCCTGAATGCCTTCTTTGGTGAAGTCTCGGTTCATATCCTTTGATGATCTTTTCAATTAGTTGTCTTTTTGTTATTGAGGTGTTGAAATATTCTATAGATTTTAGAAATTAGACCATTGTCGGAAATGCCATAGCCAAAAGCTTTTTTCCAGTCTGTAGGTTCTCTTTTTTCCCTTTTGGTGACGTTTTTTGATGAGTCTAAGTTTAGTTTTTAGTTGCTTCTGGTTATCTAGTTTATCTTCTCTTATCTGTGCACTATTAGTTATGATGTATGTTATCTTTATGTCATGTATTAATGCCCCTAGCATTGTCCCTATTTTTCTTCCATGATGTTTATAGTTTAGGTTTTATATTTATGTCTTTGATCTATTTTGAGTTTTTGTATATGTTGTGAGGTATGGGTCCTGTTTCATTTTTTTTAAATATGGACATCCAGTTATACCAGCACTATTTGTTAACAAGACCTCTATTCTCCATTCAGTAGACTTTGGCCCTTTGTCAAATATCAGCTGCTCATGGATGGATTTACTTCTGGGTTCTCGGTTCTGTTCCATGCATCTATGTCTGTGTGGTTGTACAACTACCAGGCTCTTTTGATTACAGTGCCTGTATAATAGGTTCCAAGATCAGGTAGTGTGAGGCCTCCCACTTTTTTCTTCTTCTTTATTGATGCTTTGCTTATACGGGGCCTCCTCCCTTTGTGTATAAACGTAGTGATTTAGTTGTCCATGTTTTTAAAGAATGGTATTGGAATTTGTATCAGGATTGCATTGTATCTGTAGATCACTTTGGGGAGTATTGACATTTTCACAATGTTGAGTCTTCCTATCCCTGAGCATGGTATGTGTTTCCACTTAGGTAGGTCTCTTTAGGTTTCATGCAGTAGTGTTTTGTAGTTTTCTTTGTATAGGTTTTGTGTCCCTGGTTAGATTTTTTCCTATGTATTTTATATTATTGGGGTCTATTGTAAATGGCATTGATTTACTGAATTCCTCTTTGAAGTTCCCTTTGTTGATATAGAGGAATCTAACTGATTTTTGTATGTTAATCTTGTAACCTGCTACTTTGCTGAAATCTTCTGTTAGTTCCGGTGGCTTTCTTATGGATTCTTTGGGGTTTTCTGTGTGTAAGATCATATCATCTGCAAATAGGTATATTTTATCTCTTGCATCCCAATTTGGATGCACTTTATTTTCTTGCCTTATTACTCTAGCTAGGACTTCTAACCCAGTGGTAGATATGAGTGGTGATAAAGGGCATCCTTGTCTTTTTTCAATTCTCTGAAGGAATGCTTTCAGCCTCTCTCCATTGAGAATGATATTGCCTGTTGGTTTTGTAGAGATGCCCTTTATTACGTCGAGGAATTTCCCTTCTGTTTCCGAGTGGTGGTGGCCATGCAGGGGATGACCATGATGCGAGTGGTGGTGGAGGTGTGGTGGTGACCATGATCCGGGTGGTACCAGCGGCACTGTTAGTAGCAGTGGTATGGGTTGTGGTGGTGGTGCGGCTGATGTCTGTGGCTCAGGTGGTGGTAGAGGTGTGGTGGAGGCGACACTGTGGGTGGTGACCATGATGCAGGTGGTAAAGGCAGTGCAGGTGGGGACCGTGATGTGGGTGGTGGCTGTGGAGCAAGTGGTGACAGCAGTGTGAGTGATGACGATGCTGTGGGTGTTTGTGGCAGGACAGATAGTAGTGGTGCCATGGGTGATGGTGGAGGTGTAGGTGGTGGCAGTGGAGTCAGTGGTGGGCTTGTGGGTGGTTGTGACAGTGTGGGTGGTAAAGGTGATATGGGTGGTGACAGTGGAGTGGCTTCTGACCATGTTGCAGGTGGTGACAGCAATGTGGGTGGTGACCATGATGAAGGTGGTAAAGG